TGTATGGCTGTATGGCTGTATGGATGTATGGATGTATTGATGTATGATGCATGGATGTATGAATGTATGGCTGTATGGGGGTATGGATGTATGGATGTATGGCTGTATGGATGTATGGATGTATGATGCATGGATGTATGACTGTATGAATGTATGGATGTATGACTGTATGAATGTATGGCTGTATGGATGTATGGATGTATGATGAATGGATGTATGGCTGTATGGCCCAGGCGAAATTAAATGAAATTAATAATTTGACCATTAAATAAACACATAATAAATGCAACTTATATATGTTTTTTTCCTTCTTCGTGATGCTTTTTTTGACTGATGCGACTTAAACTCCGGTGCGACTTATACGCCGGGCAATACGGTAGTTATCTCCTCAGCTTGCACCTTTTCCCCTTCCTTTTTGTTCCTCTCTACTTGTAGCCTGCAAAATGTCAGGCTCCTTGTTGTGTCTGAAAGCATGACAGCTCATCAAAGCTTGCAGCCCTTTGTGTTTGGAAAGCAAAGTCATCCTGTGAGAGTCGCCGCTGGGGCCGCGGGCGGCACTCTGCCTTCAGTTTGTTTATCTCTGCTCTGGGATTTGAGCGCCTATAGCCGCTGAAGTGATCCAAGCTGACTGTACTGACAAAAGCCACTGGACACATCCTCAACGTCTCCTCCGCAATTAAAGGTCTCAGAATTAATCAAATTAGACCTCCAGATTCATTCCTCAGTGGTTCCAAGTTGCTTCGTCATAGTTTGATAAGGCAGACGGTCCAAAATGAAGGAAAAGCAAGTGAGTGAGAATGATGTTGCTGAAGGTGGAACTGAGTTGTTCAAGCTCAAAGAAGCAGAACATTACTTAAAATGTAAAAGGAGCGAGAACAAGCTGAAGGCTAAAAGTAATCAAAGGCTAGCTAAAAGCTAAATGTTGCAAAAGGCTAACACAAAGCTAAAGAGAATGGTAAATAAAAGATAGAATTTGCAAATTACCGGTAGTGACTGGAAGCTAAAAATTATACATTTATATATATATATATATCCCTCGCTACTTCATGGTTCGTTTTTCGCAGACTCGTTCTATCACGGTTTTTCGAAGTAACATTGGACATGACATACAATGGCTGATTGATGGATGAGCTGCACGATCAGCATGGATTTCTTATTTAACATAAATTATTTGAAATGATTTAGCACCGTTGCCACAGTTGTGGGAGGAGCTTCCTCCTGCAGCTGATCAGCTGATATCCGTTCTGCACAGAGATCAGAGCGTGAAGACGTGGGCGTGGCCGAGAGTGCAGCCGGAGCTGAAATCATGACATTCTGTGCTCTTTTAGAGCATTTAGAGTTTAGAAACATTGTTTAGAATATTGCATGAGTG